TAATTATATATATATATATATATATATATATATATATATATATATATATATATAATTAATACTATATCACTTATTGACATTCGTCGCATATCGACTATTGTTGAGTTGTTTCTAATATTTGCTAATAAATATGGCATTATCACGTTTCTTGAAAATTATAAGAATATATTATAAACGTGAGTATGAAGGTATTGCCATAACTTGTAAAACTCACCAGTTTCTATTCGATCATGAGATAAAGCATCGGGTGAGCGGGTCTAAGAAAAAAGCATGGATACCGCTACAGGATTGATTGAAACAGATAGAATTTCAATATATGAAGCGATAAAAATGTCGATGTAAAAAATAAAAATATATAGATGTTTTAAAATAGTTTAAATAGTGCTATGAGATTTTTCAAATAAAATAAAAACATTACCTAAAACAATTTTTATCTCGGGTACAAACTTTAGTAACAATTACCAAATATCTTATTTTCTACTACCAAAATTTGATATTAAACTTCCAGAATTTAATTTAATGACCTAAATGTGTAGTTCAAGCAATTAAATCTTGGTTCTTAGAACTATACATTTGTTTTATATAACTAAATTGTTTTCTAATCATTACTTTGTTTGGCCTGCATTACTTAATTGAATAATTTAGCAACAACTACCAAATTTTGGTACTTTACATTACATTACGAAATTTTTCTTTCAGTTCTTCTTTCAGTTCAAAATTAATCGACGGATAAGGCTGCGCTTTCGATTTACATCACTAAAGTCGCGCGATTCGCTGAAATCCCAGGCCTGGAAGCTGGCCGCGACTGAAAAACTGTTCTCCGACGTTCTCTCGCTGCGAAAATAGAAAGGAGAAGGAAAAGATCGGCTTTAGTTTCATTCCCTTCGATCAAAAGATATGCGAAATCTCAGCTCGCGAGAGTTGCACTCTCCTCACGCTTTTGTGTGATTTCAGGGTGCTCGACGCGGAGAAGTGGCACCAAGAAGCCGGTCCCTTCAACGTCATCCTTTGCTTAAACCTTCTCGACCGCTGCGACCGGCCGAACACTATGCTGAGTCTGCTGAAAGCCTCGCTAGCCCCTGGCGGTAGACTGGTTGTCGCCCTAGTGTTACCGTTCAGCCCCTACGTCGAGGTCGGCGAGAGAGGCAACCATAAACCCTTGGAGGACTTGCCAGTACGGGAGAACGGGGTCGAGGCGCAGATAATCGAACTCGTCGACCGGGTCTTCACTCCCGCGGGTCTGAGGTGCCTCGCCTGGAGCAAATTGCCATATCTTTGCGAGGGTGACCTGGGCCAGGCTTATTACTTCCTACATGACATGATTTTTGTGTTGGAGGCGCAGCCGATACACTTGCAGCCAATACTTCCGCAACCTTCCCAATACACTGAAAGTGAATTCGCCGAGGTGGACGATGTGTTAGATGATGTGTCGGAGAGTGACTTTTAAGTGTACCTCTTGCGGTAATTGACGCAAGAAAAGTAGGATAAAAGAGGGGGGGGGGGAGAAAGAGA